ACAATCTAAAATTAATTGGAAATTACATGACATATGAAATGCTTCCTCTGTTAATATATATATAACTCTATGCTTGTCCACTATTTCCCCCCAACGTGGACGACTAGGCAAATAAATGAGATAAAAGCCTAGCACCGAGGGACATGATGGACCCAGGGCAGGCAGCAACCACCCTGGTGCCGAGGGACAATATTTTGATCATCAATGCTTTCTATCAAAAGATTAGAGATCAAAAGGGGAAAATGACAAATTGAAATGGCAAGCAATAGGATATAGTGGAGTATAGGAGGAAGCCATTTGGTGTAAACCTAATTTGGCCTGACTTTGTTTTTCCAAAAGGGCCTGACATGGCCATCGAGCATGCATTGTAGATCTGCTTTAAACATTTCCTATGGCAAGAACAAATGCCCTTAAGATAATGGTGCAAAGTCCCCCCACACTGGCGTTTCCTTAAGGATAAACATCTCTCCCTAGGCTGGGAACTGATTGCTGCACTCACCTTTGACCACCCAGCTCACCTGTGACCACCCAGCTTGAGACAACAGACCTGCCACCCTACTGTGTCCACGGAGACAGTAGACCTACTACCTGCTGTGTCCATCAATCACTGTGCCCACAGAGCAGTCTTGTGACTACAGTAAAAGGGACATTTCAATCATATGTGAAACATCCTCTTTGGGGGATATAACCACTCTGTAAACCCCACTTCTTTGGTGCCCTTTCTTGCTCCGGGAAGAAAGGCCCCAGGTCATGGTCCTCACATTTTAGCTCAGAATAAACTCACCCAAATTTTCATTTATAGATTGGTTATGGATTATTTTTGTTGACATTATGGTGAGAAAATATAAGATCTCTCAGCAAATTTCAATTATACAATACAGTACTGTTAACCGTAGTCACCATGCTATACATTACATCCCCACAACTTATTCCTCTTATAACTGGAAGTTTCTACCCTTTGACCAATATCTCCTCATTTCCCTCACCCCCAGCCCCTGGCAACCACCAACATACTTTTTGTGTCTATGAGTTCAGTGTTTTTAGATTTCACATATAAGTTAGACTACACAGTATTTGTCTTTCTCTGTCTGACTTATTTCACCTAGCATAATGCCCTCAAGGTTCATTGATGTTGTTGCAAATAGAGGGATTTCTTTCTATTTTATGCCTGAATAATATTCCATTGTATACATATATATCACATCTTTATCCATTCACTTTCTATGTGACCTGCTTCTTTCTCTTTGGAAACTTTTAAAATCTATTTCTGGTGTTCTGATATTTCACAACATACTCTGGTGTGGGTCTTTTTCCATTCCTCGTGGTAGGTACTTTGTGAGCCCTTTCAATGTAGAGTCACATTCTTTCAGATCTGGAGATGTTTCTTATATGATTTATTTTATAGTTTTGTCTTCTATTTTCTTTGTGTTCTCTTTTTAGAATTCTTCTATTATTCAGTTCTTGGATTTTTAGGATTGATTTTCTTATCTTTTCTCTCCTATTTTCTACCTGTTTTGTATTTTTCTTCTAATATTCAAATTAATCTTCCAGCCCTTTTATTGAATTTCTACATTTCTACTGTTTTTTTTTCCCTAAGGAGCTTTTTTCTGTTTTCTAAGTGTTTTTTTTCATAGTGCCTTCTATCTTGTTGCATAGCCTCTTTATTTTGTTTCATAACCATGGCCCTGCTCATCTTTATGAGGATATTAGTTAAAATTGTTTTGAATTATTTTCCTGCTTTCTCCTTTGACTATTTCCTCCAACTTCCCTCTTTTTCACTAGTTCTTACTTCTGTCTTTCATGTAAGAGACCTTTCTCATAAGTCATATGGTTTTTGGTTATTTATGTTTAAGACTGAGGTTTTCTTTTGCAGTAGCACAAATATCAGCATCTCTCTGTCCTTTTTTTTTTTCAGGTTGCAGATGTCAGTATCTGAAGGAAGGATATTAGAATTCACTGCCAGCATTTAGGCAGGCCAGTGGGAGAAGATGACTTGGGAGATCTCACCATGCAACGTGTCAACTTTCAGTTAATCTCCCTGCTTCAGTAGTGGATTCACTCCCAGCCTTGGCTGAGTCTGATAGCCCAGAGTCTCTCTAGTTTAATCTCTCCAGAGAGAAAGTCTCTATGCTGCATGGATAAGGGATACTTACTTGGCTGTGGAGTGAGCAATTTGATCTTTTCACCTTTTGCTTAGATCAAATTGCTCTTTTAAAAGACTTTCTATCAATTCTTCTATTTTCAGCCATATCCCATACTCCTGACTTTACAGGTAACTAGTGTCTCCACTTCCTGAGCCTTTTACAGTTTTGTGACATGGAGTGGCTTTCTTCTTGTTTGCTTCTCCTCTCTGACTCAGTTTTCACCTTTTATGATCTTTCATTCACTTTCTGTTTTTCAAAATTTAATTGACACCTCATCTGCTATAATGTTCTCTTAGTCTTTGTGGATTATGCCTTTTAATTTCTTTTACATCCTTTCAGTATTTTAGAAAGTGGCAAAGATAAATGCAAATATTTAGTTTGTAATATTTATCCAGAAGCTCAAGATATATAGCTCTATTTTATCTACTCAACTAGATTATGAACTTTTTAAGTTCAAGGACTGTTTTATTTTGAGCTATAAGATTCTGACATGTATCTTCATATCGCCTGAATATAGAAAAATGCCTTAAATATAGAAATTATTTAATAAACATAATTAGATTTTTAAAATGAAAAATCTAATTAATTATTTTATCTTTTAAATATTTTAAAAACATTTTCATATCTTCACAGTCATCATTTTGTTTATCTTCACCATCATCATTGTAGATAAGCATTATTATCCTAATTTCACAGATGGATTATATCTGAATTATTGATTAGATCAGGTGAAATTAATAAAGGATTTCCCGACATAATGTGAATATCACAGTGTACTCTATACTTTATTATCATGAGATTATAAATGATTCCCCAAACTTGCCATGGTCAGGTATGTCTCTTTGCCTTTTTCAGTGCTTTTATTTTTAGTTTTTGCCACTTCCTACTGTCAAAACTTTCAGGTCCATTGGAAATAATATCCATTCTGTGAAGCCTTAGAGTCCAGGAATAGTCAATGTCTCCTTTGCGCTTTTAGAGAAGTACATATTTATTAATATTATAGCATGCATCACAGTGCATAGCATTTGTTTTTGTTTTTGTTTTGGAATGTGCTGTCCCTCTCTACACTGAGTACTTTTAGGACCTGGACTTTGTCTTATTCATCTTTGTGACTCAGAGCCTAGTATAATGTCTAGTACCTAATGGCAACCAATTAAGTTTTATTGGATGAATGAATATCTCATTGGTAAATTAAATGCTTACCATCAATTGGCAAACTTTTCATCAATACAGAGTTTTCTTTCAGTTGGAGTCTTAACCCTATGTTTTTCAGAATATTTTCCAGGTCATCATAGTTAATTTCATCCCCTTAAAAAAGAAAATAATGGTAAAAGGTGAAATTTCAAACTTCAAATAATAGTAGTAGTAGTAGTAGTAGTAGTAGTAGTAGTAATAAAATCAACCATGTTTGTGTATCATTATTCTCAAATATAGGATATAAAGTAATGGAAACATTTAATGTTGTCTAATTACATAGAATCAGAAGAAGGATTCAGAAATAGAATTTCTTTCTGGTAAAAGGGAGTTCTTCGATGTCGGGAACAAAGAACAAACACAGCACACAGAAAGCTAGTGTTTCTGCAACAGTCCACTAAATTTGCAGGTACAAACGATTCTGCCAGCAAGTAATATTTGCTCTGCTGTTTTATTTTTGCCTGAATTATGAGCTTGTTCACAATGGTCATATTACCTGTATGTGTAATTTGCCCTGCCATTTTGCTATTAGAACAGTAGAAAAAGAAATTCTATTATTGAAAAACTCCAAAGAATAGAGGCATTGTTATTTAGGCTTTACACTGTGGCCTTTTAAATAAGTTGTAAGTAACAACTGATTGTAATAATGAATAACATTTAGTTTATTAAGTATTAATAGATTATTTTTCTTATGCCTTCTCATCATTTCTTCTCACTCACCTAGCAGTTCATGTAGTTCATCCAGAAGTTTGTCCAGTTTAACTCTTCTCTCATCTACAAGACAAGACAAAATTCAGATAGAGTCTTGTTATGGGCTTGTGTTCCCTCAAATTCATATGTTGAAGCCCAAACCCCCAGTGTGACTGTAATTGGAGATAAGATCCTGAGCAGACTAATACAGGTCCCAATTACATAAAATTCTTAAACTGTGAAGTAAAGTGTAAGGATTTAGCAGTTGCCTAGAGTTTTTTTTTTTCTAATTAGATATTTTAATTTTCACACTATATAAACATAAGTTTGAAAAAAGAAAAACAATCTAAATATGATAAATACATTTATTCTATACATTCAACTTTTCCTTTCTGTGTTCTTCACTTGTTAGAATGGAAGAGAAGAAAAAGAAGAGAAATAATTTTCATTTTTTGTTTGTTTCTTATTTCAGCTTTATTGAGGTATAATTGACAAATAAAATTGCAAGATATTTAAAGTGCACATCATGGTGATTTAATATATGTATACATTGTGAAAGGATTCCCCCATCTAGTTAATGAACACAACTATTATCTCACATATGTATCTTTCTCTTGAGAACATTTAAGTTCTACTCTCTTAGTAAATTTCAGTTATACAATACAGTGTTATTGACTATAGTTACTACGTTTTATAGAGCATTGCATTAAAGCATATAAATTTATTTAAAGTATTTTTACTTTCTGTTCTTTGGATCCCTTTGGTTTATTGTTGTGTCTTTGTTTCTTTGGTTGTATTTTTAAAACTCAGCTCTTGGTAACCTTCACAGAACATAGGCTGTAATATTTATTTTGAGACATTCAGTTAGACTGTCCTCTAGATAATTTAGGGTGGGGCCATATTCCAACTCCAACAGGAGCTTTACATTGTTTTGTTTAGCTCATGTTTTACACACAGAGTTGTGAAAAAAGGATTAGAGGGGACAAGAAATAGGAGACTATCTATTTGGCAAGCAGAAAATCTTGATTTCAAGAATGATTGGACCATATTAGATACACTTAGGTAAGCCAGTACTTCTGGGGTGCTTATAAAACTATTAATCAATCTACAGAATCCTCTCAGGATGCTAAAGAAGTTAAGATGCTTAAGATACTAAGAGCTAAATAGAGTGCTTTGATCAGATACTGTTGCTAAAAGTCATGCAAAAAGCTATTAATTCCAGATAAGTATATTAATATATATATTTCTCTATATTGTAAAGGTAAGCTCTTTTAACCAAATTAACTGTGGTGGGGGTTGCTTATTTAAAATGAAGATTCATGGGCTCTACCCTAGACCTAATTGATCATAATCTTGATGGTGTGGGTAATTTCTATGCAATCTAAATCTTGACATTTGTGAATTTACTAAGTGTAATTGTTAGGTATATGTTACATATATTTTACAGTAGTACAAATAACATTTAACAGTTTCCAGCACTTTCTTTTTTCCCCTTCTATTTGTTATTCTCTGAATTCTCTCATAATTTTCTCTTCCCACCCCTCAAATGTATTTTTGCTTTATTTTATAATTTATTTACTTGATCCCAACACTGACCATCATCTCATTTGGTATTTTCTCGCATAGGAACTCTGCAAGCAGCAATATAAGCAATTATTGATATTTTATCTGAGGTTAATATTAAGAGACAATATATCTCCATTCTTTAGGAGTGAGTCTCTATAGACTTTTGGCTTCTTCCATGATATTAACAACCATACTTGAGATGTTCTCACTGAGAAACAAGAATTTTCTTAAAGGTCAATGTGTACTTGAAATACTCACTATCAATCGGCAGGCGACTGCACAGTTCATCGACTTCGTCCTCTTCAAGAGGGAATCCCATGTTTTCAAGAGCATCATCTATTTTATTGACATTAACCTTTCCTCCTTAAGAAAACAAGGGATAAGAATAAAAGAAATATGTATTTATGCCAAAGAGGGAAAAAAATCCTTGGTGATATCAACCAACCAACACAAACAGGAAGTAAAAAGCAATGGCATGATGAAGTTTTTGAAGTGATCAAAAGAACTAGCTGAGGATTAGGAATAGAAAAATTCTCCTTGTCAATGTTCCAGGAAACACTGTTAGAACAGTTTCTAGGATGAGTTTACCCAGAAGAGAACAGGCAAGACTACTGAATTATTGCAACAAGACAACCAATGCACAAATTTCTTACCATTAAGTAAGACTTGAGATTTGCCACAGTGACAAAATAGTGTAGGCTATTTCCCCAAATGTGATGGTGTACAACTAAGAATGAGAGCTCATAAAAAAGCCAGAGTAACACGATTATCAATCTAATCATTGAGAACTAAGAGAGATGTTAGAAAAGTAAATGCAACAGCTTGAAGATCTGTTTTCTCTTCCTTGGCATGCTTCTCACTCACCTCTGTAGGTCTTCACTCCATCCATCAACCTATTTTTATACACCATCTTATGATCTGTAAGATAAGAGTCAATTTAATTCACCAAGAAGTGGAAATCCAGAAAGACAGTAATATTTAGTTATTTGTAAATTCTTATAAAGGTTTATTAGTTATAATCCAAAGAAAAGGGAACAAAGAAATGAATAAGGGGGCCGGCTCCGTGGCCGAGTGGTTAAGTTTGCGTGCTCCGCTGTGGCGGCCCAGGGTTCACATCCTGGGCGCGGACATGGCACCGCTCGTCAGGCCACGTTGAGGTGGCGTCCCACATCCCACAACTAGAAGGACCTACCTGCAACTAAGATATACAACTATGTACCGGGGGGGTTTGGGAAATACAGCAGGAAAAAAAAAAAAGGAAGATTGGCAACAGTTGTTAGCCCAGGTGCCACTCTTTAAAAAAAAAAAAAAAGAAATGAATAGGATTCTCAAGGTTAACTATTCATTCCCTGGCATCTGATGTACTATTAGTGCAACTCTAATATGTTGAAACATAAATCTTTTTCTTTTCTTTTTTTCTAAAGTGTACCTTCCTTCTTTTCTACAACTCTTCTGACTATCACCTTTTCTTATCTTTAGATTTAGACATGTTTTAGATGTTGGTTCCAACATTTAAACCTGTTTATTCATAATAGAAGTACCTCAAAGAGAGCATCACTCCCAAATTAAGAATTCAATGGTAAGGACAGGATATTTTATTCAGAATTGGCTTTTTCTACATTTATTTTCCTCAATTTTAAAAAATTGAGATATAATTGACATATAGCGTGAATAAGTTTAGGGCAAACAAGATATTGATTTGATAAATTTTTTTCTTTTTTTAAAATTGTTTTTTTATTGCAGTAACAGTGGTTTATAACATTATATAAATTTTAGGTGTGCATGATTATATATTTCAATTTCTGTGTAGGTTATAACATGTTCACTACCCAAAGGCTAATTACAATCCATCACTACACACATGTGCCTAATCACCCCTTTCACCCTCCTCCCTCCCTGCTTGCCCTATGGTAACCACAAATCTAGTCTCTGTTTCTATGTGTTTGTTTGTTGTTTTTATCTTCTACGTAGTGAGATCATATGGTATTTGACTTTCTCCCGCTGACTTATTTCACTTAACATAATACTCTCAAGGTCCGTTCATGTTGTCACAAATGGCTGGATTTCATCATTTCTTATGGCTGAGTAGTAGTCCATTGTGTATATATACCACATCTTCTTTATCCATTTGTCCCTTGATGGGCACCTAGGTTGCTTCCAAGTCTTGGCTACTGTGAATAATGCTGCGATGAACATAGAGGTGCATATATCTTTACACATTTGTGTTTTCCTGTTTTCTGGATAAATACCCAGCAGTGGAATAGCTGGATCATATGGTAGATCTATTTTAATTTTTCGAGGACTCTCCATACTGTTTCCCATAGCGGGTGCATCAGTTTGCACTCCCACCAGCAGTGTATGAGGGTTCCTTTCTCTCTACATCCTCTCCAACTTATTGTTTCCTGTCTTGTTAATTATAGCCATTCTGATGGAGTGAGGCGATATCTCATTGCGGTTTTGATTTGCATTTCCCTGTTGATGTTGAACATCTTTTCATAGGCCTGTTGGCCATCTGTATATCTTCTTTGGAGAAACGTCTGCTCAGATCTTTTGCCAATTTTTTAATGGGTTGCTACTTTTTTTTGTTGCTGAGATGTATGGGTTCTTTATATATTTTGGATATTAACCCCTTATCAGATACATGGTTTGCAAATATCTTCTCCAAGTTGTTAGGTTGTCTTTTCATTTTGTTGATGGTTTCCTTTCCTGTGCGGAAGCTTTTTAGTTTGATGTAGTCCTGTTTGTTTATTTTTTTATTGTTTCTTTTGCCCAGTCAGACATGGTACTTGAAAATATGCTGCTAAGACTGATGTCAAAGAGTGTACTGCCTATGTTTTCTTCTAGAAGTTCAATGGTTCCAGGTCCTACATTCAAGGCTTTACTCTATTTTGAGTTAATTTTTGTGTATGGTGTAACATAGTGGTCTGGTTTCATTCTTTTGCATGTGGCTGTCCAGTTTTCCCAACACCATTTATTGAACAGACTTTCCTTGCTCCATTGTATGTTCTGGGCTCCCTTGTCGAAAATTAGCCGTCCATAGTTGTGTGGGTTTATTTCTGGGATCTCAATTCTGTTCCATTGATCTCTGTGTCTGTTTTTGTGCCAGTACCATGCTGTTTTGGCTACTATAGCTTTGTAGTATATTTTGAAATCAGGGAGTGTGATACCTCCAGCTTTGTTCTTTTTTCTCAGGATTCCTTTGGCTATTCAGGGTCTTTTCCTGTTACATATAAATTTTAGGACTCTTTGTCCTATATCTGTGAAAAATGTTGTTGGAACTTTGATAGGGATTGCATTGAATCTGTAGATTGCTTTAGGAAGTATGGCTATTTTAATTATGTTAATTCTTCTAATCCAAGAGCATGGAATATCTTTCCATTTCGGTGTCTTCTTCAATTTCTTTCAACAATGTTTTATAGTTTTCAGTGTGCAGATCTTTCACCTCTTTGATTAAGTTTATTCCTATATATTTTATTCTTTTTGTTGCATTTGTAAATGGGATTGCATTCTTAATTTCTCTTTCTGCTACTTTGTTGTTAGTGCATAGAAATGCAACTGATTTTTGTATGTTGATCTTGTATCCTGCAACATGACCATATTCATTTATTATTTCTAAAAGTTTTTTAGTGGATTCTTTAGGGTTTTCTATATATAAAATCATGCCATCTGCAAATTGTGACAGTTTCACTTCTTCCTTTCCAGTTTGGTTCCCTTTTATTTCTTTTTCTTGCCTAATTGCTCTGGCTAAGACTTCCAATACTCTGGTAAATAAGAATGGTAGAAGTGGGTATCCTTGTCTGGTTCCTGTTCTTAGAGGGATGGCTTTCAGTTTTTCTCCAATGAGAATGATATTAGCTGTAGGTTTGTCAAATACAGCTTTATTATGTTGAGGTACTTTCCTTCTATACCCATTCTATTCAGAGTTTTTTCATAAATGGATGCTGCATCTTGTCAAATGCTTTCTCTACATCTATTGAGATGATCATGTGATTTTTACTCTTCATATTGTTAATGTAGTATACCATGTTGATTGATTTGTGGATACTGAACCATCCCTGCATTCCTGGAATAAATCCCACTTGATCATGGTGTATGATTTTTTAAATGTATTGTTGTATACAATTTTCTATTATTTTGTTGAGGATTTTTGCATCAATGTTCATCTGTGACATTGGTCTGTAATTTTCTTTTTTTGTGTTGTCCTTGTCTGGTTTTGGTATCAGGGTAATATTGGCCTTGTAGAATGAGTTAGGGATCTTCCCCTCTTCAATTTTTTGGAAGAACTTGAGAAGGATAGGTATTAAGTCTTCTTTGAATGTTTGGTAGAATTCACCAGGGAAGCTCTCTGGTCCTCGGCTTTTATTTTTGGGGAGGTTTTTGATTATTGTTTTGATCTCCTTGCTGGTGACTGGTGTATTCAAATTCTCTATTTATTCTTGGTTCAGTTTTGGTAGGTTGTATGATTCTAAGAATTAATCCATTTCTTCTAGATTATCCAATTTGTTGGCATATAGCTTTTTGTAGTATTCTCTTATAATCTTTTGTATTTATGAGGTGTCCATTGTCACTTTTCCTCTTTCATTTCTGATTTTATTTATTTGAGTCTTCTCTCTTTTTTTTCTTGGTGAGTCTAGCTAAAGGTTTGTCAATTTTGTTTACCTTTTCAAAGAACCAGCTCTTGGTTTCATTGATTTTTCTATTGTTTTTTTTTTAGTCTCTATTTCATTTATTTATGCTCTGATTTTTATTATTTCTTTCCTTCTTCTGATTTGGGGTTTTGTTTGTTCTTCTTTTTCCAGTTCCTTTAGGTGCACCGTTAGATTGTTTATTTGGGATTTTTCTTGTTTGTTGAGGTAGGCCTGTATTGGTATAAACTTCTCTCTTAGAACTGCTTTTTCTGTATCCCATAGATTTTGTCATGTTGTATTTTCATTTTCATTTGTCTCTGGGTACTTTTTGATTTCTCCATTGACTCAATAGTTGTTTGGTAGCATTTTGTTTAATCCCCACATATCTGTGCCTTTTCTTCCTTAAGTTGATTTCTAGTTTCATACTGCTGTGGTCAGAAAAGATGCTTGGTATTACTTCTTAAATTTATTTAAGAAATCTTCTTCAATTTATTGAGACTTGGTTTTTGGCCTATTATGTGATCAATCCTGGAGAATGTTCCATGAGCATTTGAAAAGAATGCTTATCCTGTGGTTTTTGAATGGAATGTTCTATATATATGTCTACTAAGTCCATCTGGTCTAAGGTGTTATTTAAGGCCAATGTTTCCTTATTGTTCTTGTATTTGGATGATCTATCCATTGGTGTAAGTGGAATGTTAAAGTCCCCTACTATTATTGTGTTACTGTCTATTTCTCCTTTTTTGTCTGTTAATAATTGCTTTATATATTTAGGTGCTCCTATGTTGGGTGTATACATATTTACAAGTGTTATATCCTCTTGTTGGACTGTTCCTTTTATCATTATGTAGTGCCCTTTTTTATCTCTTGTTACAGTTTTTGTCTTAAAGTCAATTTTGTCTGACGTAAGTATTGCTACCCCAGCTTTCTTTTCTTTGCCATTTTCATGGAGTATCTTTTTCCGTCCCTTCACTTTCAGTTTGTAAGTGTCTTTAGGTCTGAAGTGTGTCTTTTGTATACATTATATATATGGGTCTTGTTTTTTTTTTATCCAATTGGCCACCCTCTGCCTTTTGATTTGAGCATTTAGTCCATTGACATTTAAAGTAGCTACTGATAAATATGTACTTATTGCCATTTTGTTACTGTTTTTCCTGGGTGTTTTAGTAGTTCTTCTCTTGCTCTCTCCTCTTGTTGTTTGATGGCTTTCTTTAGTATTATATTTGGGTTCCTTTCTCTTAATTATTTGTTTATTTATTATAGGTTTCTGGTTTGTGATTACTATGAGGT